ATTAACACTCCCCTTAGACTTATCATTTTTATCACAACTCTGTAAACCAAATTGTTTCAGTCACCTCCTTGACTTCATATTGGGTGGTGATTTTATACAAAGAAAACAGAACTGAATTGAATTGAATGGGCTATCACAATTCCAGGTTAAATTTGATTTGATTACATTAAACTCTGGAACAAGGAAGTAGCACTTATAGCGCTTATGCAAGGTGTGCCAGTGCCACATTTCCTTCATGGATTCCACATGACCCCACTGACTCCGTAACTGACACCAGATTTCAACATGTCACTTGTCTGTGCCACTTGTTCGGTTTCTCTTGTTAATCCTGTCAAGCCAAAATGTACCGCTTACAAACACTGCCAGCATTATGAGAAATGGCAGAATGGTAAAAAGTACTGCTCACAATTGTATACTGAACGGATACACAGTGAAAGGCATCATTGCACCAGGCTTAGGAAGGTGCGTCAAGCCATGGTAAAATCAAAGGTCAACACATTTATTTCATACATTTGTGTGAGGGTGACCTTAAAAATCTGTGCCTGCATTATAGCAAAACACCAACTCCTGTATACATGCATACCATCCATGAGAGACTTACACACTCTCGACACACTAGAACACACAGCGACCTACAGAAAATAATGTTCTATTATTAAACGCATGCATCAACCAAGCATGAAGGCAGCCGCACTTGTCATCGAGTTTGAAGGAACTTTGAACATTTTCAAACCTGATGCCAAGAAGAACAATTCACAGCACTGAGTACATGTACCCTGACATTTATTTATACAAAGATCTATCTCTGGCTTGCAACGGTGAGAACTGCTTGAGAATTTACTGGCTACCACACTTTGAAGATAGGACATACAGGGGATAAGATCAATGATCAACAGGCATCAACAAACAGTAGAAATTTCTATGATCGCACCATCCCACATACTTGACTGTCAAAAGCGGGAGATGCAATACGACACAATAAGAGTATCCACTCTGAGCGGATTAAAAGATGACATTTTTTTTCGGTACTCACCCCATAGGCACACCGTGAGGTGCGCAAGTACAATGTATGAGCGCGTTTGACGCGAAGCACGCTGAGTACGCGTTAACTAATTTACTCCGGCATGTATGGTCTTTGTGTACACACAGAACGCGCGTAAGAACCTGCTTGTAACCACCTGTCTTTCTTTTCGCTGATTGGGGGCGCACTTCAGCTCGGGGCAGATAGACAAGTAAGATAAATCTATGCGATGTTGACGTTTTTCCACGGTGCAGGACAGTGCTTAAATATGAGCCCTCTAGGGGTCCCGGGAGTGTGTACCCTGGGTCTTGCAGGTACTATGATGTGGAATGCAACCGGCAATTTTTTTCGCATGATGCAATGAAACCACACGGTGAATGCACAGCCAAGATACCGGTAGCACTTACAAACTTCTCATCAAACGGCAATGCATATAGTGTTAAATGAACGTGTTGTGTTCAAATAACATCTTTAAGTAGCTATCAGGATGGGTTGTCTTCGAGAACCTTCCACAATCTGTCTCCCTAAATCACAAAAAGCATTATTAAACTTTGCAAGAGAGGAATTTCAGGAAGACCCAACGAGCAGTCTCACCATGTGTTCCATGCAGATGTTGATTTCCCCGTCACTGTAAAAAGCGCCATAGAAGCCGACTATGTATGGAGAATTGCAGTCGTGTAGGACCTTGAGCTCTCGGAAAATCTGATTCCTGATGGCAGGCTTTATTTCTAGACGAATCAACTGCAAACGGGGAACAAAGTAAAAACCCCTGGAGGTGTGATGAGGAGCAAAGTGATTTAGTCTATACAATAAATTGACTTGTCAGCATTTGCCCAGCACATTTATTGGTCAATCCAAAACCAGGAAGTGCTTGAGCAGCTTCCGGCAATGCAGTGAGTTCTATTATGTACATGTCAACTCCCATCCCTGGTGCAGCTGTTAGGTGCATGCTAGATTTGCAACAACGATGAACATATTCAAAGCCAAGCCCTCTCTTACCAGTGTCTTTTTTTTTTGGCTCACTTGATGTTTTGAGAACCAACAGTCACATCTCAACTCTTTCCTCAATGAATCTTTCTTTCAAATGACAGGTTGGCTAAAGTGCAATACATGGATGATCCCCAAGTCAGTCAGGGCCACTTTTCTTGCTGAGTACGCTCATAACGTTTCCAACTTTTCAGTTTCCAAGTTCTTAAAAACAACACTTCTACTTCAGCTTGCATGCTTTTGGAGGACTGACGGTAGCCCCTTCATCAGATGGCCTTGGGAGGTTAAGATTAATCACCACACCCACTGCCCCACCCATTTTTCTACACTGCCAGCCAGCTTCGCCCAACTCCAATTTCCTTAACCCCTTCCCTCACCTTTCTCGCCATTGTCAGGTTGCTGGGTTTGTGCAGCACTTTGGTGACCACGCCCCCATTGCCCGCCCCTAGCTCGTCCAGCTTTTCAAAGTCGTCCCCGCTCAGCTCCCCGACGGCCAGCACTTTCTCCTTCAGGGTCAGGAATGTCTTGAGGCGCTCCATCTGTGTCTCATCCAGTTCCATGTCGGCCAGCTTCTTGGCGATGGCCGCCATGCAGGCACTGGAATTGTTGCTGTCGACGAAAAGAGATGAGAGAAGGAACAACGCAGTGAATGACAGCATCCACGTGAGGTTCACGTGAGGTCAACCTGTAAATACCAGGCTATTATACACAGGTTAGGGCAGTTTACTACATGTAATGGTATCTGTCGTGTTTGCATGACTTAAAGTGGTACACGGAAAAGTGAAGTGGCAATGGAAATGGCTATCTCAACGCCCAGCCCATCCGCAGCCCCCTCCTCTCCCCCACTTGTTTGAGAAACCCTTCTCAGTCACTCAATATGTTTATCTTGCAAGATAAATTCTGCTACCTTCTCCAAATGTATGTACTTATTTCGTCAGATGTTATTTCCCGAGATGTGCATGCATCTTACAATTATAGAGTCTCCATAATGTACAATGTGCACGTACAGTACTTGTAAGGGTGCATAAATTTTGCACGTCATAAATGGCATGAGACCAACACGATACGGGCAAATCCCTCTCACGAAATTGATCCAGTTCACAGATATAAGCATCTGTACTGGCAGAGTACACCATCATACAAGTACATGCAATTACCCCGGCCTTGATTTAGGTAGTCAACCAGCATCCTGTCTCTCTGTGGGGGTCAAGACACTTATTGGCCTCAAGTCACCCATACGGGATGTGCATAGGTAGGATTCTCTGCTAGTGCTGCATTGGCAAGGTGCACATCTACATAGGCAGAAGCCCTTCCAAGCACAGGCACTGGTACATTATGTACTGGTACCTTGCTAGGGCAGCTTTGAGCACTCTATGGTTCAGGTGATGACCATTTGTTGGCCACTGGTAGATCTTCCCTGGTAACCTGTGCATAAAATGCATCCAGGGTACCTGGAAAATTTGACCAGTTGCTCGCAAATGGTTTTCCTTTGAACTTGAGCTTTGATTTTGATTTATTCACTATTTCCACAAAATATTATTACAAAAAAAATTAAAGAAAAGCTAACTTAAAGATTCCCCAAAGTGCAAATAGTAGGGATAACGCAAAAAAAAGTTAAATTAACTTATTTCCACTGCGGTCCCATTGCAGCTTGCTGCAACAGAATGTGACTGTGGTTAAATGTTACTGATGCATGACACACAGTACATGTATGTACATGTAGCATGCCTAATGCCTGGCTTTTCTTCCTTCCCCATTTCTCCTCAGGCCGTTACAAATTACCGTACCTAGTTAACAGTTACCTTGTTTTATCAGTAATGGGGGGGGGACAACTTGGGACTTGAAATTGTTGTTGTTATAAATAAGATGTATTAATTAAGAGTGCTCTTGTTATCTCTGTTCCACTGTAATACGGGCAATTCACAATAGCGCGCCACCAAGAGTTTACAACACCTTGGCCAATCATAACGCACGAAATTTGTCGACCCTATCCAAACGGGCATTGGGTCGACAAATTTCGCGCACTGTGATTGGCTAACGCGTTGCAAACTCTTGGTGGCGCACTATTGTGAAATGGCCGTATTAAACAATGTCTTGGTGCAATTTTTCTCCGGCTGTCCATTTTGCAAGTACTCAGCACCGTGCGACAAAATCTACTCATGTATTCTGTTCCATCCAGGAGTGCTCTCATAGATAGCTGCATAATGGAAATGCAGCAAGGCAACTCTTATTAGTTTGAACTATTAGTGCACTGAACATCACTACTCAGAAAGTTTTAAACCGGCACACTGTACTTGTACACATGTACTCTGCACATTAATGTCCAAGCGTCAAGACTACATGTACACTCAAGACAAGATGTACACAGGCAGGCCAGAAAGGGCACAGTGGTTGTTGTTGGGGAACGTAATAATATTATACCTGTAGGGCTGCTAAAGCAGTAGGATTTTGCATACTGAGCAATATGCACAACACATGCCCAGCACAAGGTGTGTACTCAGCTCTAGCTCATACTGCGTGTTTTCCAGTGCTCAGAGGGTCGGGGAACCCTGGAGTTATACTCTTGCTGGGGCATCTCTCAGCAAAATGAGCCAGTTTTGTCTTAGCGAAAAAAGCACCTGATGTCACGCCATTTCAAACACGTTCACTATGCGTGAGTTTGTGTACGACTGCACTGATAAGGCCTTACCCATGTGCATATGCTGGAATGACCTATGACAGGTTTCCTCTGGAACATGCCCTGCTGATAAAAAAGGACTAGGGGACCACAGACATATCCACCGTGTCCATCTATTGTCCAAGGCTGGATTACAATTGGTCAATCCGCAATGGCCGCCGCAACGGAAAATCATGCACTATCCTCCCAAATACAGTACATAACGATTACTGGCACTGTACAATTTTTTTGGCACCCATTCTTGTACCGCAGTGATTGTGTGGGAACCTTTCATGTGTATACTCGTCCATGTCCTTTTTCCCACTTGATGACTTAGTGCCTCAAAACTGCAAAATTTAAGCAGCAGTCGAGTTAGCCATGTCTACCTGCACTGGTCTAGACTGTGCTGCATGCAAGAAAGGCCAACAGCCATCCTGTTCATGTACTGTTACCGTACTGTGCACAGTGGTGGTGAATGGCACTCGTCCACCCCCAGAAGTGTGGGGTTCGATAACCCCCTGAACTGTGCGGTCCGTCGTCCGCCGCACTCCAGTCCAGGGGAGTATGACAGACTTTGAATCCCACAGTTCTGGAAGTAGATAACTTAACCGAGGACAATACTTGTGCAGTTGCAATGATTTGTGACAGTCATGTTCCGGTTACCATAAATTAAACCACAGCAACTGGAAAAAAACAAGCCACAAGTGTAGACTGAAGCCATATCACTAGGCAATGAAACTTTAAAAATGCATGGCGTGTGCCTGACAGTCATGACAATAGTGTACACCTTATTGCCAATCACTACAAACCGTGTATAACATCCACCTGTCCACTTCCTGCAAGCATCATTGCATGGCATATATATCCTACATGATACAGTACATTTAGGCTTACGTATGTATCCCCTGCCTGAGCCTGAAGCTGAAGTCATGGCCAAAGATTGTATAGTGCCGCAAAGTGGCGCAAGATGGTAAACTTCACCATAAATACACGTAAAACGTTGTAATCGCATAGGCGCCATTTGAGCAAGCGATACGCCTGCGCAATGCACATAAATGCACAGGTGCAAGCGCCGCGGCAGGCATGTGCACCTGGTGAGCCTGCACCTAAGCATTACCATAAACTGTGCAGGCGTATCGCTTGCTCAAATGACGCCCATGGTAATTACATCTTTTGGGCAGAGTTATCCATCTTGCGCCTTCGACGTTTTACGATCTTTGGTCATGACAGTGCAGGCTATGCTCAGATCAATGTGCACAAGTCATGCAAGTCATCTGATCTGGTCATGCAAGTTACGTAGGCCTCTGGCATGCCCGGCTACATGCCAAAATTAACTCTGATGACTGACACAACAATGATCGAATTAGTCTATCATGTCTATGCCAACCCAAGGGGATTCTTACACAGCATTTGACGGCGCAGGATCCTCCGTCTTCACAGACAGCGTCAGCTTTTTGATGTTCTTCTTGGAAGAGGCCATTTTGACAGCCCTTGTGCGCTCGCTGTGCGTCAATGAAAACCTCGCATGAGGGCAACTTCACACTGTCTCTTGCCACAAACCTGTGACCACTCGTTCCCTTTCAAATTACCCGATCTTTTTCTCACATGCACACAAAAGTTATCTGTCAGCAAGCGATCACCGTAGCGTTCACCATTACGAGCGGAAGTAGGGTGCGTTTTCCTTGAATAATGAATGGAGACCCCAACGACAAGTCTGCGAGAAACAACACAGAGAGGTCACACGGGTTGGTCACGCACGTACAGTCAACGGCGCTTCTGTACGTATGTACGATGATCAATGGCGCGCAGGCCCACCGACATCCCATAATAAGCGCTGCTGCTAATTTGCACAATAAACGATATCTAGCGATAATCACCGATTACCCCAACCTTTCCCGTTGAAACAGATTTCTCCTGGCTCTTATTATTGAAAACGTTGTTTTCGCTGCTTGAAATATACAATAAGTTTATAAAAATATACAAAAGTTCAAAGTCATAGTGCTGATGCACATAGGTGAGCAAGCGATTGTTCTCTGACGTAAATCCACATTTTTGGTAAGTGATATTGCGGTTTGTGCCCCCTTGCGTTGGAGTTGCTATCGTAATCGCAGGTTACGAAGTTGTGAAGAGCCTTCAGGAAGCAGTGGAATTGAAGATGGCGCTAGCCGCTTGGCACTTCAGTAAATGGGCGCTGATGAATGTACATGTACTGTATAGATGTAGGCCTACATGAATAGAAAACAACACAAAACCCCGACGGAAAGGCCACCGTACCCGGGGACGCTCGAGGGGCCGCGGGCAGTGTGTTTCTTGCAAGCTCACAACCACGGAGCATCAGCGGCGGCATGGAAGAAAGGGGTGGACGCTGCGGGGGGAAGGGGGAGGAATGATTCCCCGGCCCCAACATTTTAAAGTCTATTAATAGGGTGCTCTATGATAGGTGGGACGGCGCTACATAACGTGGCCTTAAGAGAGCACCATACATCACACTAGAAATTTGCCGAGTTGCCGATCCCCAAGCTTGGTCCAGGTCTGACGGAAAGAGTTTATTCGAGAGAATCTTAGGTGCAGTAGCAGCCACGGTCACAAACGACAAAAAGAAGCCATTTATCCAGGTTCCACAAACTATCCGAATTCTTCCGACTAATTTGCAATGACTTACGATTCACTACAACCCGTACTGTATTGGACCAAAACTGACCCCGTTAATATGTTATAGCGCCCTCTCGAATTTTAAATAGCGCGTCGCCCGATAATGTTTTGTCCCGATCGCGTAGTTCACTCCCAGGAAATGCGTGAACTTTCTTGAGATTAGAAGTGGTGTTAATATTTTAAAGAAAATCTATGTTGTATGGCAGAGTTATTCAGCTGTCAAGGTCTCGCCCCCTGAAATTGTTCGCAGGTTAAGTCCCTTGGGCATAGGGAACCATGGGTGCCGCTTTTCAAAAAAATTATCAGACCCTTTAATGACAGTCTTACCCAGAAGTGTTTTCCGTATTAACAATCCAAGACCAAACCACTGTACTGTACCATTATACCTCTTATTTAACTAGGCCTACGTAGACGGAGAAGGGATGACAGAACGCTTTGCATGTTTTTCCAAACCGATATTTTGACTCCACTCTTCACTTTTTGAACAACAAGATTGTGCAATCGTGTGCTCTCAGAATCAAACTGAATCATAATTGTTTGCTCTTTGAGTGGTGATCTAGATCGTCAATCTATTTCGTGCTGAATGAACCTGTGGCCAATTCATATGCAAAGATGACAAATTCGATCGGGAAAAATATAAACTCAACCAAAGTCAAATCATTGATGGTCCTTGAAGTGAAAACTTTCTTGGAAGTTGGGGTATGATAATGTGCACACATTAATTAACTCCCCTGCGTTTGAACCACGATGCAATTTGTGTCATAGTTGACCCGCGAATCGACGGTCGCTGGACTTGAAAGTAGGTTTAAATCTCCTCTGAAATATGAAACTGCTTCAACGTGGATCATCGTCATCAATTCGCAACGGGAAAATACAACCATGGCTATTATGTGCATGGTCATGTGGTCAGAAAATTTCGTGCTACTCTGAGCTCTGCGTGACAGGCTCGTTATGGTTTAGCTTTTGCAACCACGTACGGCCCACTGCTAGCCCCGCGCCAACACTGAGCACCAAAGCACCGCACGTATACATGTACATTGGCCTATGCGCAATCGGTCTGAGTGTGGTTGCAATGACGCAGAAATGTCCCGCTGTCGAGCGAAAATAGCAGGATTGTGTAAAACTGTTTGTATCACAGAACGCGGTTAGATACGGGCTGATGTACAAAAAGTCAAAATTACAAAATATACCTGAGTAGAATGTTTAACCTAAATTTTAAAATTGTCTCCGTTTCAAAGAACTGCCAGATGAAAATGCATACAGTGAAAGAAAAAACTGCAAGAGACTACATCTTAAATTTATCATAATACACACTTCTAGCAATGGGAAGGTATAGATGGTCCATGTAGCATTACTGGTTTACGGATTCACAGACTTGAGAAGTGACGAACAAAAAATGAGACGGCACACAAAGAAATCAGCTTCATCGGTTACGTCTCTATACTTTGGACACCATGAAGTTACCAATTAACATATATAACTATACTCGAGTCCTATCGTCACATTTGACAAGTAAACCGTTTCTGGGCCTAAAACTTCCTCAGGAAGTAGATTTCAATCTGAGGGTGGCTACACTGTATTCTGATAATTGTATGTGCTTTTTCCAGGATAGCAATATCCCTCAGTATGTGCCTCCATAATGTTAGCGATACAATTTGTTAAAATCTTTTAACATCACAATATTGCATAAGAATTGTATGAAACTGATTTGTTTGCTTGGAATTGTTCATTCATTTGGTTTTTTATTCTTATTTAGATTGCTTTATGATAAACAGAAATGTGTAAAGAAGTCCCGGCGATATCTGCTCCAAGTTGAAGTGCACCTTCACCGAAGAAAGAAAGACACAGGCTGGTGTACGAAGCTTTCCAACCGGGTTCTGAATTGCACGCGTTCGGCGTGCACGCGAAGACCTATACGTACATGTACATTCCATATTCGATGCGTGTACCCCGTGTACATGTCAAACGCGCATAAACTTGCGCACCTATGCGTTGAATTCGTACCAAAGAACTGTCAATTTCATTTAAAAACACGCCCTCTTTTGTTCACGCTCGGAGCGGATAATGAAAAAGAACTTATTTTTCATAAAAAAAGTCGTCATGAAAATTCTTCTTTATTGGAAAGAGGTAAGATTAAGTTGACAGAAAATAAAGTTCTGCGCGATATACTACACATGGAAATGACCTAACTCCGTCAAAAATTGGGCGTTGCGCTTTCCTTCAATCATTTTCTTGCGCAAATTTCCGGGCTGCCTGGCTGGTCGCCCACTGTATGAACGTACCACAGCCACGGACGTATATAAAAAAACCTGGACTTGCAAC